TGCCCCGGCGATCAGCTCTTCCATCGAGACCTAACGGCGTGCAGACCTCCCCCCGAAGTGGACTGCGGGAATCTCCTACCAAGACCCACCACGCGTGAGTATGCATACGAGGCCGTCCCCAATTGTGAACTGGGGCTGAACCAGTTTTCGATCACTTCGAGTATATATTGCCAATAAATTCGTCACGAGGTGCTTGTTCTGAAACAGGGGATCCATCCAGATCTTTGCGATGCGAATGTAATAACAACCAATTACTTGTCTAATTACACCTGGTATTGGCATGAAAATTCGGTGATGTTATGAATGAAAAATGGGCAGGAAAAAATTAGGTACTAAAAGGGTACACTGGACTGGTCTTATCACAAACTAACTTAGCTCTCATAAGTAACAATTGTGTGCTTGAGTCAGTCACAGGGACTTGTTCTTGATGGAGTTAGAAAAATTAGCTTTGACAGTTGTAAAATCGGTGATCATGGAAGTTTTGCAGGAAATAGAGGAACGGTTAGTTGCTCACCACTGTCAGGCGTGGGATGCGTGTATCTTGCAGTCTTAATTTCGACTATAGTTCCCATCGGTGATTATTGCGATCCCGAATCTTAACGGCAGAGTTAGGTCACTCTTGAAGTAATTACACGTCGCAAAATATGCAGGCGAGGTGATGGGTCCGTTGTTGATTCACTCTCGAGGTATTTTGCTGTCAAATTCTTTGGAAGCCTGAGCCACAAGTAAAGCACGGCGTATGCATATGTGAATAGCAAAAAACAAGGCCAAACACTGAGACTCCAGATGCAGTTCTTGCATGAATGCAAGCACATTGCTAGTGTAATGTAGGGTGCAATAGCTGGAATTGGTTCTAAAACCTTAACATATCCGGCTCTTTCCCAAACTGAACAGAGACCTGGAAGGACGTCGATTCTGCATTGATATAGAGCTGAAAGCAGCCGTTGTGGCGGAATTTTTTTACATTTGCAGTGCATGGATACATTGCTGGAAAAAAAAATTATTGCATAAACCTGGCGTTATTCTTGTTTCACTTCAAAACGAAAAAAGCAGGTTCTTCAGGATCCCGATAAGTGAGGAAAGCCTGCAATATATTCAAGCTCAGCATTCAGACATGAAACTGGAAGGGGTTATTCTTTATTTCATTCTCATGAGATTCGTCAGTAGCTTCTCTGAAATGTTCATCCTCTTATCAGCAAACAAATAACTTTCGTTTATTCAACTTCGATGAAGACTTATGCTTTTTATTGATGTTCTTTTCTTAAACGTAACTTGATGTTTTTGTTCCTTTAGCGAGCGAAACCACGACTACATCTACATCTACCTCCACCACCACCACGATTGGAACAACGGGTAGCGGAGAATTCCAATGTCCTGAGCCTGATGGATTTTTCCCTGACCCTGAATCGTGCGATCATTTCTACCAATGCGACGGAGGAGATCCCTTGTACCAAGTGAGTTCGAGCAGACGATCGAGCTAATGGTGATGAAGCTGACCTTTCCGTCGATTGCCTTTCGGCGAATTCACCTCATGTGTTCGCTTTTTTAGGAATGCCCCGAAGGTACTTGGTTCAATCCAAATATCGACTCGTGTGACTTCCCCGGTGACTTTTGCACGCCCCTGAAGATACATCCAGTACCTAAATGAAGCGGCCCTTTGCTCTCCGATCGATTATGTGTGTTAGACACTTGGAACGGAGGAATAAAAAAACTCATGGTCTATCATCAAGATTTGTTCATTTCGATGTCTCACCTCTTGCTTCGTGTAATGATGCATTCAATTTCCTGCAGAAAATGCCGTTTCTGTTGTCCGTAATTTGTTCTGTAGCAAGTTTTTCTTGACGGGATTTCGTTTGATGGCTTTTGTCTGAAAGAGCTGCATTTGCAGGTCACATGAATTCTTCCAAGGTGGTTTGCTGCATCGAAAACCTTAAATCCATGTGGGGAAGAAACGCATGCAACTTTCCGTGATGAAACTTGCAAGACACTTCCCTGACGTTCACTGGAAAATGCTCTTTCTCATACTTTTCTCGTAAACATTTCATTTTTATTTGACATGAAAGCTGGAGCATCCAAGGCTTACCAGCAGACCGTTTGCAGGTAGTCGAACAACGAATATTAAAATGCTGCAGCACGAAATAATAGCGTAACTTTCCTACAAGCACAGAACATGAGTACTTCCGCTATCTCACAAGGAGTGAGGCAAGATCCCGTTACTACCTCAGGTTGCACCGTATATTTTGAGGGAACGTTTCATGAATGTTTCCAAACGTTACTCTATGTTGCAAGTTGAACAACATACAACCTTCAAGGCATGTTTTTCCTTTTGAGCACTGGGAGTGGAACTGAGAAACGTTTTCCAATTTTGCTACATCTACTATGCATATTGATAGAATGTTGACATTACGACAACGCGGCGGCAACATTCTAATAAGACTTTTCCGTGGAACTTCGAATTGCAACACCTTTCTGAATATATCTGATTGGAAAGAAAGTTCTCGGAATTTCATGAACAATTATTACAACCCAGTTTATTTAAAAGCAAAATCATCTCAATCATGAATGTAATCACCATTGGCCTCTATCACTTCACTCCAACGTTCATGCAAACTATGGATGCCATTCCAATAGAACTCTGGCGGCTGCGCTACGAAAAAGTTGGCCAAATCGGTTTTCAGGTCGTCTCGGTTGGCGTACTGCTTTCCACCCATGTGACGGTCCAGGGCAACGAAAAGGTGATAATCGGACGGGGCAAGGTCGGGGCTGTAGGGCGGATGCGGCAGCACCTCCCAGCACAGGTCCAGTAACTTTAGA